TGTGTAGAATGTGTGTGTGATGTGTGCGAGTGTGTTGGATGTGTGTGAGGGTGTGGGATGTGTGGGTGTGGGGTGTGTGTGTAGGATGTGGGGGTGTTGGATGTGAGTGTGTGGGATGTGTGTAAGTGTGGGATGTGTGTGTGGGATATGTGTGAGTGTGGGGTGTGTGAGTGTGTGGGATGTGTGAGTGTGTGGGATGTGTGTGAGGGTGTGTGGATGTGTGAGGGTATGTGGATGTGTGTGGGGTGTGTGTGTGGATGTGTGTAAGGGTGTGGGATGTGTGTGGAGATATGAGGGTGTGTGGATGTGTGTGAGGCTGTGGGATGTGAATGTGCGGGATATGTGGGAGTGTGTGGGATGTGTGTATGTGGGGATGTGTGTGAGGGTGTGGGGAATGTTTGTGAGGGTGTGGGATGTGTGTGAGGGTGTGGGGTGTGTTGGGGTGTGGTGATTGTGGGTGTGGGGATGTGCATGAGGGTGTGGGGATGTGTGTGAGGGTGTGAGATGTGGGTGTGGGGATGTGTGTGAGGGTGTGGGATGTATGTGTGGGGATGTGTGTGAGGGTGTGGGGGATGTGTGTGAGGGTGTGGGATGTGTGTGTGGGATGTGTGGGTGTGGGGATGTGTGTGTGGGTGTGATGTGTGTGAGGGTGTGGGATGTGTCTGGGATGTGTGAGGGATGTGTGTGGGGGATGTGTGTGAGGGTGTGGGATGTGTGTGTGGGATGTGGGGATGTGTGTGAGGGTGTGGGATGTGTCTGGGATGTGTGAGGGATGTGTGTGAGGGTGTGGGGGATGTGTGTGAGGGTGTGGGATGTGTGTGGGATGTGTGGGTGTGGGGATGTGTGTGAGGGTGTGGGATGTGTCTGGGATGTGTGAGGGATGTGTGTGAGGGTGTGGGATGTATGTGTGTGGGATGTGTGTGTGGGGATGTGTGAGGGTGTGTGGATGTGTGTGAGGGTGTGGAGATGTGTGTGAGGGTGTGGGATGTGTCTGTGTGGAATGTGTGGGATGTATGTGTGAGGATGTGGGGGTGTGGGGTGTGGGGTGTGAGTGTGTGGAGTGTGTGAGTGTGTGGGATGTGTGTGAGGGTGTGGGGGATGTGTGTGGTGTGTGTGGGTGTGGGGATGTGTGTGAGGATGTGGGGATGTGTGTGAGTGTGTGGGATGTGGGTGAGTGTGTGTGAAATGTGTGTGGGATGTGTGTGTGGGGATGTGTGAGGGTATGGGATGTGTGCATAGGGATGTGTGTGAGGGTGTGGGATGCGTGTGGGGTGTGTGTGTGATGTGTGTGAGGGTGTGTGGATGTGTGGGTGTGGGGATGTGTGTGGGTGGGATGTGCGTGTGGGATGTGTGTGAGCGTGTGGGATGCGTGTGGGGTGTGTGTATGTGATGTGTGTGAGGGTGTGTGGATGTGTGTGGGTGTGGGGATGTGTGTGGGGTGTGTGTGTGTGGGATGTGTGTGTGGGATGTGTGTGTGGGTGTGGGGATGTGTGTGAGGGTGTGGGATGTGAGTGTGTGGGGTGTGTGTGTGGGGGGATGTGTGTGGGGGGGGATGTGTGAGGGTGTGGGGATGTGTGTGTGGGATGTGTGTGTAAGTTAATGTGTGGGAGGGACGCCAGAGCAAGCCAAAGGTCACGGGTTACCAGGCGCCGGCCAGACCCACTGGGCACCCTGTAGAGTTCTTTGTGCAGGGAAGAGGCCCAGCCTGTGCCCAGAGCTTCTGGGGGCCCTCAGCTCCGCCCCCAGCGATGACCTCCGCATCCCCTCAACAGACAGATTTGAAGACCCACAGTCAGCCAGGCACTGTCCCCACCCCCGCGGGGACAACAGTGACCCACACCGGCAAAAATCCCTCTCTTGGCAACTTCCTGGCACTTTCCCCCGCCCCACAGCCACTCTCCAGAAGCCGCCTCTGGCTTGGAGCCCTGTCCCTGCCTTCGGCAGCCCTCAGCCTTGCCTGCACGTGGGGTGGTGGGAAGGGTGGCAGGAACTGGGGCCAGAAGACAAGGGCAAGGCTGCCCAGACCCAGCCAGGGTCTGGCACAGATGAGGAACCTTGGGGAGGAGCTTCTGCAGGGTCTGATCTGAGACCTTCTAGACCCTTCAGGCTGCATCATACAATTCTCCAGGGAGAAAACAAGATGGTGTTCCAGGTCAAAGGGATCTGCATTTATTAAGAGCCTGCCCCAAATCCCCACTTCCCACGCCGCACTGTAGCTTTTCATGGGTCTAGATGACTCCACCTTCAACCCCGCCCCCCACCAAAAATGACACACCCAATAAATAGATTTCCTCCATTTATTTTTCTGTTCTTGTGTTTACAAAAACATAACTGGTTGCGCTACCCCTCCACATCCTACCCCCTCGGTTTGTCAGGAGGAGGGCAGGCATTTCGGGGGCCTGGGCGCTCACGGAAGACCTCGGGGGTGCTGGAGAGGCCTTGGAGCGCGCAGGGGAGAATCCGCCCCCTGCGCTCTTCCACCCTGGCTGGTGGCTTTCTCTTGCCTTCTCCTAGGAAGTTCTCCCAGCCTCGGAAGCTGCAGAGAGGGAAAAGCAGCTTGGAGTCCTGTGAAGAAGTGGGAGGACACGTTAGTGGAGATCCGGGCCGGAGGAGAACGAGTGTTCTTTGGAGGAGGGAAAGTGCCTTAGTTGGCCCCAGCTGCGGCGTCCCACAGATCTGAGAAACTGACCCCACCCCCTCTGGGTCCCTCAGGCCCTAACGGTGGTTTGCGCTCCTGGGTTCTAGCGCCCTTGGGTCTCGTTCGCCCGTCCCCGCCCGCCCTGCACCCTCCCAGGCCACCAGGAGCACCCTTCCCCACCGTACAGGTTCTAGAGAGACCAGGCCACTTGGGCAGGTGCGGGCAGGGGACTGGCGTGGAGAGCGGGCGTGCGCGCAGTTCCTTGGGTCACGGAGACGCGCCTCCCCTCGCCTTGCGGTGGGCACTGGAAGTCAGTGAGCTGCTTGCAATCCTGCAGTCTGAGGAGCGCGGCCTGGCGTTGTAACTGGTTTGCTGTAGGGCGCGCAGCTTCTCTGACATGCATTGTCGTGACTTCACCCTAAAGGATATGATTCCAAAACGATCACTGCCTCTATCATTAAAACAGTAGATGATGTCTGTGAAATTCACTCGACTCGCTCTGTGGGCCTCTTTCAGTGAATTTAAACTGGCAACATAAAAGCAACACTTGAGAGAAGAGGGGAATATGTCCAAATCTCAGGGTCGTTTGAGTGAGACATGAGAGCTCAGAACCCCAAGGAAGGCTTTTAAAGCTGCAGGACCCACCAGAAGGAGGAGACTAGGGACCCTCCCCCTCCCCCGCGGCCCCACTTTGAAAGACCCCCTTCCCGGCCCCTTCTTCTTCTCCTACCCCTACCAACGTTGGAGGGGGTCTGGACTTTGAAACTTGTCACCGGGAAAAGAAACCTTCGCCGAGAAGGCTGCTAATGAATTCAGGTGGCATAGTTCTCCTAAGCTGATGTTTTGCAATGATGACATGAGCGTGGCGGCCGAGGGTCCCAGCACAGAAAGTCTGCGCAGCTGCTCGGCGCTCTGAGGCCCGAGACAATGGGCTCAGTGTTAGGGCCTCGGCCTCTCCAAGCCATTTGCATACCCCGTTCTGCCTGAGTGACCAGCGGCTCTGCGGCGGGGAGCAGCATTGTCCACGGTCACTTCAAGATGACCGAGGTGACAAGAGCCAGGTGAGCGATGGGGCGGGACATCCCCCAACCCCGAGGAGAAAAAAACGACGCGGGGAGCCTTGGCCAGAGCTTGGGACTGTTGATTCTCAGGCGGGGTTTACTCGTTTGGTCTTAAAGATCTCAGCAGCTGTTGCAGGGGGGAAATTCGAGGTTTTTAACAAGAATCTACAAAGCCTCATTTTGGGAGTAATTAGGGGTTATCTGGAAAATCCAGTGATCGTAAGGCACTTCATTTCATTGTATTTTTTCACTCTTGAAAGTTTAAAGCTCCATTGCCAAAGGGAGGCAGTTTCATTCTCCCTTTGGCAACGGGAGACTGGTGATAGCCAAAGACTGTCACCAGTTTTTTCTTATTTTCCAGAAACACCGTTTTGAAAAGTAGCGACAGCGGCCCTTGGCCGGCAAATCCCAGCTACAGAAGCGCCCGAGGCCCGGACGGGACGCCTCCAATCACCAGCCACCGCAGCTCCGGCTGGGGCGGCGAGGGCGCACAGCCCCTCCACCGCCGCCAAACGGAGCGCGCTTGACGCCGCTGTTTTGACTTCAGCTTAGAAAGATAAGTCTTTGTAATGCAAGTTCCTCTTCCCAAGAGAGTTGACGCACCACCCGTCACCATCTTTATTCCTAGCCCTGGAGCAGAGGCAGAACTGGGACTCTTTCTGAGATTTCACTCGTGGGGAGTGTAACTGTTGCCAATGATGTTCAGAGACCTGGATCCTTAAGGAGGGGCTCCTGGGGCGGGGTGGGACCTCAAGTGGGAAGGGTGGATGGGACGATGAGCGAAGCCAGTAGAACCGAGACCAAGGGGCAGGGGGGAGGCGAGGGTCTGAGGGTAACGTTCCCCCAAGCGAAACACTCTGCGCTCCGGCACTAAGAGTTCCTCCTGCGCCTGGAGCCCGGGGCCCTGTCGCAATGCGCCCAGGGCCTCCGAAGGCCGCGCTCCACCCAGGCTGCGCCGCGGCCCCGCAGGCCTCCCTCCTCTCGCCCTCCTCCTCCCTCCGCCTCCTGTACCCCCACACGCCTACTCCAGCAAAAAGTGAGTCAAGCAAGTCCTGGGGAAGGCGCCCCAAGGCCCTCGCCCGCGGGCACCAACACCTGGGCACACCGCGTCGCGGGCAGGAGCGGAGCTGGCCGGCACCAGCCCCACCAGCGCCCGGGAGGCGTCTCCAGGTCCCCACCCGCGTTCGCTGAGGATTGCAGCGACGCTCATCTCGGGAATATAACGATTAATCCAACCGCAGGTTTCCAGATAAGTGATTGTGATGGAGACTGTTGGCGAGAAAATAGACAATTATCCGCTGTTAGCTTTACATAAAGATCGCATTAACTCAAATTAGTTATCAGACAAAAGAACGTCGGCGCGCGCGCCCTGCCGGCCCGCGCCCTGCCCGCGGGGACCCCGGGCACAACCAGGCCCTCAGCACGGCAGGCAGGGCCGAGGCCTTGGCAGGCGCGCTGCGGGGCAGGGCTCGGAGAGAGGGGGCACACACGAGGGTGCTCCGAACTCCGGCCTCTGCGGGGGCTGCGTGTTTCGCCCTCCTAGACGCAGCGCGGGGCTCTCGACTGGGACGCGGTGGCCTTCCCGGGCACTGGAGCTGCAGCTCCTCCCAGCGCTCCCCGCCCCCAGCGCTCCCCCGCGCCCCAGTTCCCCCTCCACTGCGCTCCCCTCCCCGCCGCGCCCCTCCCGCCCCCGCGTCCCGCTCCCGCAGTCCCTCTTCCCCGGCGCGCTCCGTGAGGCGCTGCCCGTTTCTTTCTGGCGCCCGCAGTCCCAAGTTTCCGGTTCCTGAGTGAGAGGAGACTTCGTGAATCACTCGGGAGGAAACTGCCCTTCGCCATCGCCGCGGAATCAGAGTCGACGCGAAAGCGTCCTCGACGACATCGAGCACTCTTAGGCCATCGCTGCATGACCCGCCATCCCCACTCCACGAGCGCGGTCACTGTCCCACCTGGGGTCTCTCTCTGCGGGCCCGCGCTGCCATGCGGGGGAGTGGGTCATCGGGAAAGGTGGGCTTCGGAGAAAGGCCGCAGAGCGACCCAGGAGCTGAGTGTCTGTGGCCTGGGGACCCCGGCTGAGACGTGGCCGTGTGGCCTGGACCCCGACAGAAGTTGCGCATTGCCCACGCGCCGCGTGGCCTCCTGGCACGCTCTTTTTCCTGTTTCCCCACTAGGGTTGATGTCGGCCTGCCCGAAAACGGGTTTCAAGGACTCAGGCCGTGCAAACGCACGGCCCAGCGCCCTGAGCCTCGGCCTGGCCGCAGCGCCCAGCGGGGTCCCCACCCCCCCACCACCGTCGTCGGCGCGCGCTGGCGGAGGTGCTCCTGCCCAGGCTGGCCTCGCTGGCCCCCAGTGTCCCCAGGCCCCTTTGAATAGGGCGGATAATGACCCCCGGTTCCCAAGGCAGGCTTTCTGCTGCCTGGTGAGCCTTGGATTTGTGTGGTCCAAGCCTTTCCCAGCTTGTCCCATTCTGTCACCGGGATAAGGGGCTCCCTCGGCTCGTTTGCACCTGCGTCGCTTTTGGCTCCTTCAGGAATGCGCTGAAGCTTGTAATCAGCTTTGTGAAGCCATTGAGTGCACGGCTGAGTGAAACTTCCAAAGCTTGAGGAAAACGGGCCGGCTGAATGGGAGCCAGCATGGGGCTGCTCTCCAAGCCTCCGCGCTGCCAAATTCCAGCAGAGCCCCTCACAATCGCTCCGCGCGGGCTTGACTGCTTTCCCCACACTGAGAAAAGTGAGAAAAGAAAAGCGAAAATACCAGTCACCGAGGTTAGCCGCTTGTTCCCAGATTAATGGCAAACGGCCCCCTCCTCCTCCCCGCGCCCCTGCCCCTGCCCCCCTCCAGCAGAGTGCTCGGAATCAGGAAACACGGCAGAGAGGAGGGGAGGACAGTTATTAATAACTCCCCATCTGATTTCACATTTTCTGTCCCTTGCCCAGGGCGGGGGTCTTCGCGCCAAATGCGCGGTCCCCCCACCCGCCTGCAGGTGCTGAGCTGGGCTGCCAACCCCTGGTCTGCCGCGCACCCGCCCGTGGCCTGGGGAGGTCTAAGCAGTCTTGGCTGCGCGCCTTGCTCCAATAGAGGAGTTAGACGAAGCCAAACCTAAGATTTCCCAAAACTAGCACTGCAAAGCCTCCACAGTGCTCTTAACAGGAAACAAAAGCACCAAACAGGCACTGGGCCTCCACTGACTCCCACCCCGCATCCACTCAGCAGGGCCCGCACCTCCAAAGAGGCACCTTTGGATTTGAGGGGCTTGGGAAAGAGGAGGTGCAGGGAAGGGAGGACTTCTTTGACACCCAGGGTGTGTGTGTGTGTGCTTTCTTGCAGATAGTGTAGGAGTAAAGGTGCCTGCAGCTGGAAGCACCCCCCCCCCAACCCCACTGCAGCCTCCGTGGCAGGTTCTGGAAGACAGGCGTTCTTCTACTGTAATTTCTTACCAAAGGTCTAGCGCTTCAGATCAGTGCCTCCCAGGGCTGTCCCCCAGGCCCCTCTGTCCCTCCTTCCCAATCAAGGTAAATCAGGGTTCCAGGCTGGCTTTCTCTCCAAAAATGGAGATACTTGGCAGCCAGTAGAAAAGCATCCAGCTCGCAGAAGAAAAGCAAGCCAGCTCCTCAGGGGCAGGGCTCCTTCCTGCTGCTGTTTCACCCCGTGGTCCTGGAACCGTGCCTGGCAGTGCGTGCAGAGGAGACACTCTACCTATTCATCAACGAATGCTGTCCAGCTTTACCTCTCAAACTCAAGGCCTGCAAGCAGCTCTTCTGGAAGGGAAATACAGAATCTTTTCTCCGGAGGGTCCAGAGGGCCCTCTCGACAGTGAACCCGCACAGGCATTACTTGTGAGAAAGAAAGTGAAGACGACATATGATCCACATATACAACTCTCTTTACAGTCGCTGTGCATTTCTTTTGCTAGTGAATTCTTGCCACCATGAATTGGACTCTTTTCCTTTTCTGCAAGCACAAATATGAAGCACGAGTTTTAATATCCGAGCTAGATTTGCATTCCTTCTAGTAAACACACGTTTAGTCCTCCAGGTTTTCTTTCTTCCGCTGCAGAACCTTGCCTTGGTAGGGGCACCACAATGCCTGACTGCTGCCCTGTGCTATAAATAGTCCCCTGGTGGATGGAAAGGTTTAATGGGCCTCTTTAAATACCGAACTTATTATAAAGCCCCAGGAGAATCACATTAACAGGCAAAGAAGAGCAAGAAGAGAGCTCCCCCTGTAGATGTCCTGTTACAGCATTCTTGGAAACCTGGGACAGGCAGGACGTCTCCTATTTCTGTACATTAATGTGCGTGAGAGGCCCCAGCACGCTGGGGCCAGGAGGGGCTGTGGAGGTGAAGCGGTGCCTCTGAGCCAGGAGGAGGTGGCACTTACGAGGTCAAGTGATTTGCCCAGAATTACCCAGGGGCATCGTGACTGTTATCAGTAATAATAAGAAGTCAGAAAAATCAGTGGATGCTTTGTCCTGTTTTAAAACACATCAGATAGTCTTGTTTAAGAGCAAGGAAAACCCCCCTTCAGCCAGTTCTGAATCCCTAAAGGTGACACAATGGCAGAATTGGTGAATCTAAAAGAAAAGTTGAATCTCTCTCTATGCCAACCCTTTTGTCGATGCTAAAATGCTTTAAACATCCCAAATTCATACCACCCGCTTTGACAGTTAAAGTTTACTTTTTATGATAAAGTTTGACATGTGGTTTTCAGCAGCGTTTCTCCTTCCAACCATTCTCAGTAACAAGTCAGGAGGGTATGCAGTAATTCAGAAATTAGTGAAATTTCGTTCCTGGTGGGGGTGTTGGATTAAGAGGCTGGGAGAGTGTGAAGCAAGTCAACGTGTAACTGCATGATAAGCCTCTCACGAGGAATTTATTGGCGAAGTCGCTATTTCTATTCCTTCCTAATCTCGTTTAGCACATTCATTCTCTGCAATCTGTCTCCATAATCTTCTGTAGCAGAATGGCAGCCAACAGAAGCATGCATGTTTCGAGAGAAGAGAAAATATGCAGAGGCGTGATAAACTGATGCTAATTATCCATATTTAGGACATGGAGTGCAGAAGATCAAGGTTTACAAATCACAAGCCTGAGCCCGAGATGATGGCTTCCTCGTGTGGAATACGTTGCAGGAGACCAGATAAGGGTTTCATGGGCAGGAAAGATTTATTGGTCAAAGGGTTCACCTTCCACTTTTCCACTTTTATACAGCAGTAAATTATTTGGGCTAAATTCACCAGAACATTACTCTTTCATTTGGCGATGTGCCATGACTTGCTCTTTCTTTGTGTCTTTTCAATGCAAATCCTTGTAGTTTAACATCAGTTGATAAGAAACAAATAATTGAAGTAATAGGTAATTCCCTTTAAATCGTGCATATAGGACGGTCCCAGAAAGAAAGAGATCAGGTAGAGAGCAGAGGGCTGAAAGTGAAGCAATATCAACCTCAACCCTTAAATGGCATATCTATCAGGGAGGAAAAAAAAGAAGGTAGATATTGTATGTGTGCACATGTCTCTGTGAGTCCCACAGCCAGCGTGCTTGTGGTAAGGAGAGGTGGTCCAGTGTAGCTCCGATATCATTGCTTTTCCTGTCTGGAATCCCAATCTTTTAAAAATTTAAAAAATCTAAACAGTTTCTCTCCCTCCACTATGCCCACATCACCTCCACCTGACTTCATGTTGGCTCTCAATGCTCTCCAGGACTTCTGGCTCTGACAAAGGACACAGGAAGACTCCGACCAGAAATACCATGTGGCAGGGCTGAGGGGCCAGCGGTGGAGACTTTTTTGCATGTCAGTAATTGCCTTCTAAGGTCTCTGAAGAACAAGTACAAACGTGGCACTGGATTTTGCTGCAAGTGGGCATGCTTAACCATGTAGAAGATTAATTAAACCCCATTCAATGATACTTTTTTTTTATGAGTTGAGGGGACTAATTTTCATCTTTGGTACCAAATGGGAAACTGATCTCCTAGAATTTTCATTTGTAGATTTTTTTTTTTAGTCAATGGGACCAGGAGGCAAAACAACAGAAATTCTCTGTTGAATACGCACTGCAAACCACATGAACCACTCATTATAAGGACAAGAGGTTTTTAGAATAAAAAGAGTTATGCAGAAGTTTGAGGGTATAATTTATAATCCCTACATCAAAAGATATTAGGGAAGAACAGCTATCTTTGACACAAAACATTATTTTTACACCTGAGACCATCTGGACAAGAAATTATCTGTCAGCTACTTACACACACACACACACACACACACACACACACACACAGACACACACACACTTTCTATTTCAACAAACCTAAGGTATCATTTATAATAAGATGCATCTTTATTTTACACGATGATATGAAAGAAAAAACTCCTCTGCCAGTTGTAATTCTAAGTTGCCACTGATGGTAATGGTGTATTTAGATTCCAGAGATGATGAAAATATCTAAAATTGGCATCTATATAGAACCAAAGAAATACAATATGCATTTTTTAGTTCCTTGAATAATGAGTTTGCAACATTTTGTCCAAAATACTTTCAAAATTACCCATTGTTCTGTAGAAATTAACTTTGTTGTAAATTAATACATTGTAAATAATCACATGTGAGTAACGGGCAGACTCCATAAATACACGGTTTCCAAATGTAGAATTGAAACTTTATCCATTCCAGCCACCTTACCCCAGGAGAGAGAGAAATTAAAAATATAAATATTATCTCATCAGTTATAATCTAGCAATTGAAGCAAAAGATGTAGATTGCTAGGGTTTTTTTCCCCCCAGAAATTATCTAAATTAGAGAAAGAAATCGAATTGTTCACCTTATCTGATACACATATGCACATTTGGTGCCTGCCAAAGTGAAGTGAACAATTTAGGCTGGTTGGTTTCGGTTTGGGTTTGGTTTTGGTACTGCAGACTAGATGTGGCTGATGAGAATAATCTGGTTCTTAGAATCAGCTTCTCTCTGAAAGACTGGTTTTCTCTACATGATCTAAACCGTACCTAAACTCTTTACCTGGAAATGCTCCCATATGCACCTTCAATACCTCTCCCTCCTCACACCAAGGACTCCACCAATCTAAGAAAACTGACCATAACTTTGAAAATAAGATTAAGTTCAGAGAGAGATCAGCAATTTTAAAGGAACCAGTTAAACCTAATTAATTTAAATTTTAAAATGAAGTTAAATTATTCATAGTTTAGGAATAATTTAAAGTACACCTAATTTGAAACTTTTAACTTCAATTTAAAATTAAATTTCATGTTTCCTGGTAAGTTAGCTTGTGTTCAGACAGGCAGACATGGAGACTAATTTTTACTGCCCTAGAAGTGGGCCTTGGCAGCATATGGAAAGCATGTGGGGAAAGGTACCTGCTGTCAGACCCAGGAGTTCTAAACATGCCCTGCTGAGGCTGTGTGTGCCTGTGCAGGTGTGCGTATGTGTTCCTGTGTGTCCTTGTGGGCCTGTGCAGGTGTCTGTATGTGTTCCTGTGTTTCTGTGTGTGTTACTGTGTGCCTGTGCAGGGGTATGTGTGTGTTCCTGTGTGCCTGTATGTGTCCCTGTGTGCCTGTGCAGTTGTGCATGTGTGTGCCTGTGTGTGTCCCTGTGTGCCTGTGCAGGTGTGTGTGTGCCTGTGTGTGCTCCTATATGCCTGTGCAGGTGTGCATGTGTTCCTGTGTGTGCCTGTGTGTGTTCCTGTATGCCTATGCAGGCATGTGTGTGTGCCTATGTGTGTTCCTGTATGCCTATGCAGGCATGTGTGTGCATGCCTGTGTATGCCAGTGCAGGCGTGTGTGTGTGTGTGTGCCTGTGTGTGCTCCTATATGCCTGTGCAGGTGTGTGCATGTGTTCCTGTGTGTGCTCCTATATGCCTGTGCAGGTGTGCATGTGTTCCTGTGTGTGTTCCCGTATGCCTGTGCAGGGGTATGTGCGTGTGTGCCTATGTGTGTTCCTGTATGCCTGTGCAGGCATGTGTGTGAGTGCCTATGTATGCCTGTGCAGGTGTGAATGTCTCTGTGTGCCTGTGTGTGTTCCTGTGTGCCTGTGCAGGTGTGTGCATGTGTTCCTGTGTGTGTTCCTGTGTGCCTGTGCAGTTATGCATGTGTGTGCCTGTGTGTGTTCCTGTGTGCCTGTGCAGTTATGCATGTGTGTGCCTGTGTGTGTTCCTGTGTGCCTGTGCAGGTGTGTGCATGTGTTCCTGTGTGTGTTCCTGTGTGCCTGTGCAGTTATGCATGTGTGTGCCTGTGTGTGTTCCTGTGTGCCTGTGCAGTTATGCATGTGTGTGCCTGTGTGTGTTCCTGTGTGCCTGTGCAGGTGTGTGCATGTGTTCCTGTGTGTGTTCCTGTGTACCTGTGCAGTTATGCATGTGTGTGCCTGTGTGTGTTCCTGTGTGCCTGTGCAGGTGTGTGCATGTGTTCCTGTGTGTGTTCCTGTGTGCCTGTGCAGTTATGCATGTGTGTGCCTGTGTGTGTTCCTGTGTGCCTGTGCAGGTGTGTGCATGTGTTCCTGTGTGTGTTCCTGTGTACCTGTGCAGTTATGCATGTGTGTGCCTGTGTGTGTTCCTGTGTGCCTGTGCAGGTGTGTGCATGTGTTCCTGTGTGTGTTCCTGTGTGCCTGTGCAGTTATGCATGTGTGTGCCTGTGTGTGTTCCTGTGTGCCTGTGCAGTTATGCATGTGTGTGCCTGTGTGTGTTCCTGTGTGCCTGTGCAGTTATGCATGTGTGTGCCTGTGTGTGTTCCTGTGTGCCTGTGCAGTTATGCATGTGTGTGCCTGTGGTTGTTCCTGTGTGGCCGGTGCGGTGGGTGCATGTGTTCCTGTGTGTGTTCCTGTTGCCTGTGCAGTTATGCATTGTGTGCCTGTGTGTGTTCCTGTGTGCCTGTGCGTGTGTGCATGTGTGTGCCTGTGTGTGTTCCTGTGTGCCTTGCAGTTATGCATGGGTGTCCTGGGTGTGTTCCTGTGTGCCTGTGCAGTTAGGCATGTGTTGTGCCTGTGTGTTGTGTTCCTGTGTGCCTGTGCAGTTATGCATGTGTGTGCCTGTGTGTGTTCCTGTGTGCCTGTGCAGGTGTGTGCATGTGTTCCTGTGTGTGTTCCTGTGTGCCTGTGCAGTTTATGCATGTGTGTGCCTGTGTGTGTTCCTGTGTGCCTGTGCATTATGCATGTGTGTGCCTGTGTGTGTTCCTGTGTGCCTGTGCAGGTGTGTGCATGTGTTCCTGTGTGTGTTCCTGTGTGCCTGTGCAGTTATGCATGTGTGTGCCTGTGTGTGTTCCTGTGTGCCTGTGCAGGTGTGTGCATGTGTTCCTGTGTGTGTTCCTGTGTGCCTGTGCAGTTATGCATGTGTGTGCCTCTGTGTGCCCCATGTGCCTGTGCAGGTGTCAATGTGTGTGTGTGCCTGTGTGCGTTTCTGTGTGCCTGTGCAGGTGTGTGCATGTGTTCCTGTGTGTGTTCCTGTGTGCCTGTGCAGTTATGCATGTGTGTGCCTCTGTGTGCCCCGTGTGCCTGTGCAGGTGTGAATGTGTGTGTGTGTACCTGTGTGTGCTCCTATATGCCCGTGCAGGTGTGTGCATGTGTTCCTATATGCCTGTGCAGGTGTGCATGTGTGTGTGCCTGTGTATGTCTGTGCAGGTGTGTGTGTGTGTGCCTGTGTATGCCTGTGCAGGCGTGTGTGTGTGTGCCTGTGTATGCCTGTGCAGGTGTGCGCGTGTGTTCCTGTGTGTGCTCCTGTATGCCAGTGCAGGCATGTGTGTGTGTGCCTGTGTGTGCTCCTATATGCCTATGCAGATGTGTGCATGTGTTCCTGTGTGTGTTCCTGTGTGCCTGTGCAGGCATATGTGTGTGTGCCTGTGTATGCCTGTGCAGGTGTGTGCATGTGTGCCTGTGTATGCCTGTGCAGGCGTGTGTGTGTGTGCCTGTGTATGCCTGTGCAGGTGTGTGCATGTGTTCCTGTGTGTGTTCCTGTATGCCTGTTCAGGCGTGTGCGTGTGTGCCTGTGTGTGCTCCTATATGCCTGTGCAGGCGTGTGCGTGTGTGCCTGTGTATGCCTGTGCAGGTGTGCATGCGTGTCCCTGTATGCCTGTGCAGGCGTGTGTGTGCATGCCTGTGTATGCCTGTGCAGGCGTGTGCGTGTGCGCCTGTGTATGCCTGTGCAGGTGTGCATGCGTGTCCCTGTGTGCTCACTTCCGCATGCCTCGTGAGTGGCATCTGAGTCCCAGCAAGTTGCAGCGGACAGCATTCCTTGCTCCTGCCAGAGTTAAGCACTGATCAAGCCCAGGTGCAGGAGAGAGTGGGGAGCTGTAGAGACATCAGGGAGAGCAGCAAGGGGAGGTGGAGAGAAGTACAACTGTGAGTTCAAGTCTTTCTGGAACCAACTCTGCTCTTCCTTATGGCTCATGAGGCCAAGCACGTGGAGTGCGAGCTCCGAGCTCAGTGCTGCCTGTGGGACTTTTTCTCATGGAAGGAAGTGGTCGGCTTGGCCTGTGGCTGTCCTTTGCTCTTACCATGCTCTTGGGACCTCTCCCCCAACCGTGGATGAATTAATCCACAAATACCTATTCAGTGCATGCAAACTGCAGTAAGCATCTTTCATAAATACCTAGTTTCCATGGGATTTTCCAGTAACGCAGAAGATGGCTCTGTGTGTTCATCTTCCTGGGTCATGCTCCTGGGCCACTTGAGTGGAGCCTTTTTCGCCTCTTTAAAACAACGTCTCAGGTTGTGGTCTCCTAACTGAGCAGTGTACACTGAGGTATCTGAAATAAACACAGAATCCACTCAGGCCTGTGCCCTGGTTAGCAAGATGATTACAAGATACTCTAAATGTGCTTGGCGTGTTGAAACACACTTTCAGCTCCAATGACTTCAAACAGCTTATAAGTGAAACAAATAAACAATAATGGTGGGATTTATTTGGATTTATTCATGAGACTACCCAAGGCATGACATTTTCAGGCATGTCTTCATTTTTACAGGACCAGGAAGGGTTTCCTCTCTTGACGTGTTCACCCCGAAAGCCTCAGGCGGTTCTCAATCTGGCCTGTCCCGTGGCTTGAAGAGCCGGCAGGGCACTGTGGGGCCGTTCGCAGCTCGTGCATGGCTTGCTCCGGCTTCCACACATTAAAAGTGAAGTAAATACCCAGGCCGGCTCCCAGAGATTATGATCTGTGAATTGATGTGTTAAATGAGCCCATTGCCTTAAAGGTTATAAATGACAAGATTTTTACTATTACAAGTAATTTATAGCTATTTCCTGTTTGACGTGACAGATCCTCACGGAGAAGTCCAAATTTGTCTGCTTGACATAGATTTATTTTACCACTTCTCCCCTTCTCCAAATTCTAGCATGCATTAACTACTGTTTTCCTAGGTGTCAATTTGCACCTGTGGGTCTCCCTCTTGAGGCCTCAATGGGGTCCCCTGGCCTCTATTCCAGCTGGCTGCTTGCATTTCAGTAGCTAATGTGGGTGATTACTGGCATATTTACTGTAATTTATAAAAATCACAGGAAATGACATTTTTATTAGTCACCGGCTGCAATGGGTGTTATGCATACAAATCCATTTAAAAAACTGTTCTTCCAAAGTCAGACGCTCTTTCCAGTCTTTAATTTGTGGGACGATCACATTCCTCTCTCACTTATCTGAATGGGATCATGGCAGCGCTCGGAATTCAGCTTATTTCTCAGGCCCTGGAACTGCTTGTGTGGGTGCTGGAATAGGGTCAGGGAAATGCTCTCAGAGACAGAGAACGACCTGGAAACATCCTGACCTCAGTCTGAGAGTGAGTATGGTGCCCCAGCTTGCTACTGTCCTCACCGGCATGTGTGCCAGGATTTGTGCATGCTGACAGACGCCAGGGCTCCATGCAGGTCACATACAGCTGCGAGAACCTAACAGAATCTTCCTCCCAAAGTCCCTCTCTGCATGTCTCCAGGAGGCCTGGCTTCTCTGAGGAGGTTGGGAGTGGGTTGACTCTTAAAGGATGAGTAGCAGTTTTCTGGTTGAGAGCAGAGGAGGCAGGGAGTGTGCTATGAACAAACGCATGGAGTTCCAGCAGAGGAGGTTGGGGCTGGGAAATCGCAAGGTTTTTTGATATTGTGGGGAGTGCGATCATCACCGACATCAAGGAGCAGAGAAAATAAGACTGGACCCTTGTTTTCCAGGAGTCACATCATGAGCATCCGTGAAGGCCACGCAAAAGAGTTTAGACATCATCCTACAGGCAATGAGAAAGCACCGACAGATGCTAACTGGTTTTGTGTACACTGCATATAGCCTGGTTGGAGTCACATGCCAAGGGTGGAGAGACTTCAAGGAGGATGAACTATCACTTATCTAAAAGGCCGTAGGAAGGCCAGTTGGTGAAAGTTTCAGGATATTCATTGCGTGGGGAGAAGTAAAAGGTCACTGTGAGCCCTTACAGGAGGACCCGGGTGGAGCAGAGGGGCAGGGCCTGAGGGAGGAGGGGCTCCGGGACAGGACCCTGCATGGAGCTGGGCTCCACTGGGAGGGAGCGGGGGAGGGAGGAGGGAAAAGGGGGGAGGGGAAGGAAGAGGGGGGGAGGGGGAGAGAAAAGAGGGGAGAGGGGAGGGAGGAGAGAGGGGGGTAGGGGAGGGCGGAGAGAGGAGGAAGGGGGAGGAGGAGGCGGGCAGGCAGTTCCAGTGTTTCAGGGGCTATAGGGGTGCAGAGAGATGGCCGATGGCAGGAGGCACTGAGGATCCCGAGAGTGGACAACTGTTTACTAAGAACACAGCGAACCAGGAGCCCAGCTATTTGCACCTTCATCATCTCGTCTCATCTTCATAGGAGCCCTGTCTCTTTTCCCTGATTGTAAACTACACAGTAAGTGTCAGCCTTGGGTTTCACCCAAGGAGTGTGACTCCAGCTGGGCCTTTACCACAGAGGTATGGGGCATAATTGAGGGCATCTGTGGGACCAGGAGGAGTGCCCTCCAGACCAAAACAGAGAGAGAGCCTTTCCCTGGACAGGCGAAGAGGAGGGAGGAGGAAAGGGGCTGCTCCCTGCTATGTCTCTCACATTTGCTGACACATCCCAGGCATGAGCCACTTTAAATCTGTTACTGGCCTGGCACAGTGGCTCACGCCTGTAATCCCAGCACTTTGGGAGGCCAAGGTGGGCAGGTCACAAGATCAGGAGATTGAGACCATCCTGGCCAACATAGTGAAACCCCGTCTCTACTAAAGGTACAAAAAATAAACTGGGCACGATGGCACGTGCCTGTAGTCCCAGCTACTCAGGAGGCTGAGGCAGGAGAATTGCTGGAACCCAGGAGGCAGAGGTTGCAGTGAGCCGAGATCGCGCCATTCACTCCAGCCTGGGTGACAGAGCGAGACTCCTCTCAAAAAAAAATCTGTTACTTATTCTTCTAACAAGGCTGAGGTGGGTGTTTCTCATGACCTGGTGACAAATAAGTTAACAGGTTCAGGGAGACACAGCGAATAAGCGGAACAGTAATATCCAAACCTGCATCGACACGACTCTGAATTGTCCCTGGAAGCCCGCCCTTCCACCCTCGGTGCAGCCTGTCCTGAGAGGGGTCCTTGATGATGGAGGACACCCAGGCCACAGGCTTGGGCCAGCCTGAGAGCCACAGTTTCTCGGAAGATGACAGGAAGGCATCTGAAAGAGAAGAGAAGGGGCTGGTGGGTGAATGCTGGAGGAGGCTGCGGTTCTCAGGCTTGGAAGTGGGTTTTGGCCAGGGAGGGGCACAGAAAGAATCCCAGGGGGCGTGAGGACGTCACCGGATTTTCAGACTAACCAAACGGAATGGACCCTGATAGTGTAGGGGTGGCTGACACGGTACAGAAGCTACTGGGTTAGAGGCTAGAGCCCGATGTGGCCATTACAAGCCAGGGTGGTGAGAAGCCAGCTGCACTGAATGTCGTCACTGGGGCGGCCTCATTCAGCCCAGGGACGATCAGCCCTGCTGTGAGTGGAGCGTGGCTTGCTCTCAGGAGCATTTTAGAATCTGAAAGAAGAAGAAGGAAGGAGAGAGGAAAGGAGGGAGGGAGAGAGTTCGTTGGAAGGGGTGGGAATGTGTTGTCGCTCCCATTCCTAAATCGGGACTATCTCACCATGCAGTCGTGTTTTTTGTTCCTTGACTACTATGGCCAGTATCAAAGATCGAATGAACAAATCCCCTGCATTTTGGAACGGAGAGTCAGATTTAACAAACATTTGCTGAGAACTTCTAATGTCTCAATCTTTCAAGAATGTTTCCTTTTTTAGTTATGGAAACAGTCCTTCGAGTTATGTATCACTTTTGCCATTTTTCATTTGAAGAAACCAGCTCAAAGAGGTGAAGCAATTTGCTTTATGTTTACAAAAATAGGAGGTAGCATAGCCAGCATCTGAATGAGATCATCTGACTTCAGATTAGTGCCCCTGCACCGCAGCTACCACCGAAGGGTCTGCGTAGATCACAGCAGAACTCAGGTGGAGCTTCACCCGCCAGCAAGGTGCAAAGACTCAGTGCTGTGGAGACAAAGGAAGTGGCGATCACTTGGAATTCCTTCTGATTCCAGTGGGTCTTAGAAGAGAAGAGGTTGAACAGCAGTGGGCTCTGGGAAGGTTGACAATGGTAAAAGTCCAAAGGCAAATTTGATTTACTTAATATTAAATCAGGTCATGGCTTAAAATTAACATCCTTTCTGTAAGCCGAAGATGTCATATTGACTGTAAGCCCAAGATGTCTGTGACTCCCGGAATAGTCTAAAATGGGAGTTCCAAACTGTTTTGTGATATCAGCCCCTTTGACACTCTGGTGAAGCCCTGGAACCCCTTCTCAGGATAATGTTTCTAAATGCACTAAATAAAGTGCATATAAGGAACAAACTTGCTATTTTGAAAACTGGTAAATAAAGGGAAAGACTGTAGCACGTGCATACTGGCTTTCTGTACTAACTCTACCACTGGGTCACCTAATAGTCAAGAAGACGTATTTTTTCCTTTGTAGAAGCATTATAGCTACTACATTATAGTAATGATAGAATTCTAAAAAGTATTTCGCATCTCCTGATTAACGAATGGATTCATGCATTAACCCTCGATGGCGCCAACTCCCGGAAGTCACGCTGCTTCCCTTTTTCCCCAAATCAAACCTGAACAGCATCAGGACTCTGAGTCCAACTGTCAGTTTCCAGAAAACTCACAGAAGAGAAAACGATAAATGACACCACGAATGCAATCAGCAGCCTAGGCCATGGGAAACTCTTCAGGGGAAATAACCTTCTTTTTTCCACCAACGAATTCCAAAAAGAGAGAAAGGGTGAGGTTTTAATTACATTCTTCGATAGTCATGATTTCTTACTAATGGCATATGTGTTCCTGCCACTGGAAGCAGAGTTTGCTGCTGCCACGTTCATTCCACGTGCCACTTTGATTTTTGTGGGGTGCTTGCTCTTTTATTGCAGCACTGTCAGAACCCAGATTCACAGAGACAAGGCTGCCATGAAGGATGTGGCCCTGTCTAACATGGAACCGTGAACCACGTCGGGCTACTAGTTTGTATGGTATCCACAGACGACAGTTATCACTGTGTTTCCCTTGAGTGCTGAAAATATCAATGTTGTTGGCACCCCTGTGAGCTTGCTGTGAGGTCCCAGCATACCCCGGCATGCAGTTAGGGAGCTAAGTGCTAGTCTAAGTTGTAAAGCAGGTGCCCTGGGTCCAGAAGAACGCACAGCTCTTGCTTTCTAGTCCCATCGGCCATATTCATGCCAGGACGAGGTCCATCTTCTGATTTCATTTCATATGGATAGTGATATGTGTCCACAATTTGGTGAAATTATGTAACAAGTTACTGGTCTGTTAAATTCTGAAAACTGTCTCTACTTATGTATATTTGAATTATCTGGACTACGTCCTCTTAGGCAAATTTCTTTTAGTGGGAGGTCTACTGTTCAAATGTTTAAAAATTTCTCACTGTTCTTTTAGCTATGACAGCTAATTTCCATGTGCGTTTCTACTTCTGGTCATGATGAAATTAGTATCAAGCTTGACCTTCTGCTATTAAAAATCCATGAAGAAGGACAAAATGTGTGAAATGAGTGTTTTCAGACGCTGGACAGTGAGAGTGCAGGCCTGTGCTCCCTAAACGAAGGGTGGTAAATGAGGATTTACCCCAGGATTGCCCAGCGTCCTGCCCTGAGACTTCCCAAGGCAGGGCCCAGCGGAGCCCAGGTGGGACAAGGCCGTCCTGCCTAGTCGAGAAGCATAGGCGACGCCGTGGAGCTGGAGGCCCAGAGAAGATGCTTCAGAAATCCACAGGGAGGCCTGCTGCCATCTTTGAATACTTAGCTCTATCTGTGAAGGCAAGACTCCAAAACAGCAGGCAAAGACCGACGACCAGGGAGATGAGCTGAGTAGCAACTCCAGAACTGACCCTTGACTGGAAGGCAATGAGGACCGACCCACCAGTGTGGAGAGACCTCACTCAGTTGATATCCTGGAGCAGACATGCTTTAGGAATAAGGTTACTTAGCCTTAGAGTCAAGACTACTCTAGGCATCCACTAACCGAGCTTAAAAGTGAGCCTTAAGAGGGTCAGGTCCATGTGCAGGTAAAGTCACTGCCTCCTGCAATTGAATTCAATACTCTTCGAGTGAGGACAACAAAACCCAGATATTCAACAACGTGTCACCCACTATGTCCAGCATGGAATAAAAACTTGCCAGGTGTACAGAGGAGCAAGGAAATGTGAGGAGAACACTCAGTCAAAAGAAACTGACTCGAAACGGCAAAAACGATGGGCTGTAACACAACCATTATAAATAGGCTGAAAGATTCAAGTGAAAATATTGTGGGACCTGTAGGAATATCAACAGAGAAGCAAAAGCGGTTGGAAAGAAAACACGCGACACTTCTAGTACTGAAAAACACAATGGAAAATGCATATTTCCATTTCACCTACAAACCTTCCGATGGCAATGTCTGTTTTGTCCATAAACACAATGCAGTAATAGCTTGTCCCACGTGTAAATGAAATACAATGCGAGTGAGTAATCCTTCGTTTTACTCTAGCAGGTTTCCTGCAAAGAAGGTGAAGGGCTTCACACACATCCAGGCGCTCTCCAGTCAGCTGGGCAGCACTGGGTGCCACAGGTGTGTTCTCTAAGGCAGGGCTCTCGATGGGACTTTCTGTGGTGACGGAAATGATCAATGTCTGCGCCACCCAATCTGGCTGCCACCAGCCCCCCGTGTTATTTACGTGTATGTTAAAAACTCAGTTCCTCAGTAGCAGCAGCCAGATTTCAAGTGGTCATAACACAGCTCTGAGGTCTTAAAGACAATTTCATAAAAATCTTTTGTGCATTTTTTTGTTTTGAGACAGATTCTCACTCTTGTCCAGGCTGGAGTGCAGTGGTGCAATCTGGACTCACTGCAACCTCGGTCTCTTGGGTTCATGGATTCTCCTATCTCTGCCTCCTTAATAGCCTGGGATTACAGGTGCCCACTGGCTAATTTTTATTTTATTTTATTTTTAGTACAGATGGGGTTTTTCCATGTTGGCCAGGCTGGTCTCAAACTCCTGGTCTCAGGTGATCAGCCCAGCTCAGCCTCCCAAAGTGCTGGGATTACAGACGTGAGCCACTGTGCCTGGCCTAATTTTTTTTTTTTATATATTGAAATAATTAACTCAACTTTCAGAGCTTGGAATGGCTCATTGACGGCATAGAAGAAATTCATGCACTAGGGAAATTTAGGTGTGAATTTTTTTTCATTTCCTTAGTTAATATGAAGTGAAGGCCTTGTCTGAACATGGTGGTTCTAAAGTTTCATAGGCAAAGCAGTTAGTTGAAGGGTTTGTTATAATGAAGATTTCTGAGGTAGACCCACCCCTGGATGAAGGAGTATTTAATATGGTTATCTACTACTGGGTGGGACTCAGAAATCCACATTTTTCGGAAACATCCCAGATAATTCTGATATGAGAAAAGCTGACAAAATATTCAAACATTCAAACCAAATGTTGCCACTTCAATCGGCGTGAGTTTACGTGCACGGTGTGGATGATTATTTAATTTTTCCTCTTGTCACTTTTGTTGGTGTTGAACAGCTATGCTCTATTTATTTATTTATTTTGAGAGAAGTCGCGCTTTGTCACTCAGGCTGGAGTGCAGTGGCACGATCTTGGCTCACTGCAACCTCCACCTCTCAGATTCAAGCAATTCTCATGCCTCAGCCTCCTGAGTAGCTGGGATTACAGGTGCCTGCCACCAAGCCCAGATAATTTTCATATTTTAGTAGAGACTGGGTTTCAGCATGTTGCCCAAGCTGATCTCTAACTCCTGAGCTCAGGCAATCTGCCTTCCTCAGCTTCCCAAAGTGTTAGGATTATAGGTGTGAGCCACCGTGCCCAGCTTATGCTCTTTTTAAATATAGAGAAAAAAAAGTTTTTCATTTTTTCCTTTTTCTACTAAAAGCAAACTACCTTTCTCAGATGATTGGAAATGTCATGTTTCTGTGTACTAGAACTTTGGACATATAGGTCCTATTTACTTGTTGAATGAGCAAATCCAGGTGAGAGATGTCCAGGACACTGTCCCTGAACACATCTGCACCGCACGTGTGTGTGAACTCAGAGTGTGGGCCCCGAGACCCCTGGTCCCAGCTGAGTG